TTCCTTTCCCAAAAATGTCGAACTTGACCCGTTTCAGAGGTGTTGTGCGTGGAAAATAGAACCGGCTGCTCCTGAGACGCGGCCGACTCGCGCTGCTGACGGCTCCGGTGGAAAAGGTTCTGTTGACCACAGCGGTTCCTATCAGCAGCTATGACGTGCTGCTGCAGTAACGTGCTGCTGACGGCTCCGGTGGAAAGAAGGGGTAAGTTTCCTTGCTCACAGAAGAACAGAAGAATGGTTTTTAAAATTAAATATGAACTTCTAGAATTTACAAGCTAGATAAGCATTAAACATTTGTTTATTGCTACTTCTAATAATTATAAAATAATGAGATGTTCATAAATCTGTGCTGAATGATATAAGTTTCAGCATGTTTACTTGACAAGGTCATAACATTTGCACTCACACAAGAACAAAGTAAGGTTAAGTTAAATCCATGACACATTATTAGCCTTTGTCCCAGATCAGAACCTCTGGATCAAAGAAGGCGTGTTTCTGAGATTCTTGGTAATATCCTCAAACTTGTCAACCTCTGGTTGGCTACACAATCATAACATGAGAACATTAAAACCAGATCATGCTGGTGATCCTTCAGTTCTAGAGAAGCTTCAGGCCAGCCACCTGAAGCAAAAACCTCTTTAGCCCACCATAGCTTTTGACACGTCGCCAAAAACTGTTTGCATCTGTGAAGCTGATAAAACAAAATAGTTCCTGCAGAACAAGCTGATTTGTTCAACTCCTTGAGAGTTATTCCTGAGAAGCAAACTAGTTCCAACTGTCGTTACCTGGAAATGACTCTGGACTGACTCTGGTCGTACTGCAGTTAATCTACGGACTTCGGTACCTGGGGGGCCTCTGACCCCCCCGACATCTTGGATCCGAAAAGGGCGTCTCCACTTGCAGTGAGATTGCGTCTGGATGTGGTTTTGATAACAATCAACCTCATAGCTCAACGCAAACCAAATTCTTTTACATCCTGAACTCACCTCTCCTAGATACGGACGTTCTGACTAACATCTCATTCACACATAGGTTTCATACATCACAACAAGTTCCATCCATCACAGTAAATGCTTAGTGAACTTGTCATGTTTCAATTGTTTGAAAATAAATTCTTACTTTTATAAACCTGACTGTTTTCTGAATCAAAACGAAGTGTGTACAATCCCCTAATAAATAAAGAATCCTAGAATCTTCTGATTAAACACAATAAGAGACCAAGCAGGGTGATATTCTATATTTAGATAGAGTATCACAGCTTATTGGTCACAAGTAGAGTTAATATATATATTGAGCTCCTAAAGTACTCAATTTACCTAACGCTACAACTGGGTAAAATTGTTTTGCCCGGTTATAAGCTTAAAGGTGTGGCTGACAGAAAAAAACATCATCATTCCATTTGTAATAATAAACACGTTTTCATATTACAAAGAAATACTTTTTGCACAACTGTAAATTTGATATTAAGTATTGTAGCGTCCAGCAATGGTCAGTTTAGGCACCGTTTGACCTTCCATCGTCTATTCAACATCTGGTCAGAAAGGAGACACAACACTGCTTGTGTTCCCTTTAAAAGTTCTGCCTTCACACCAGCTGGGATTCAGACTCTGTTAGTCTGAAAGATAAACAATAACTTTCTTTCCCCAAGGTCCCATCCGTCTGCCTCCAGAGGAAAGAAGAACTCCAGTTTGAATCAGTTGCTAAATTCAAGATTGACTTGATAAATCAATATTGACTCCATCTATGACTTATAATCTAGATAATCATTAAATAAACATTTTTTATTACTACTTATGATAATTATAGTATAATGAAATGCTCTATTAATCTGTGCACACTGAATGGATGTGATATTATGTTTGTCTAATAGAATCTGCAATGTATTCACCATGTTTTGACGACAAGGTCCTCACACCTGCTCCACACAATAACGAGCAAGTTAAATCCATGACACATAATTAACCTTTTACCCAGATCAGAGCCTCCAGATCAAAGAAGGCGTGTTTCTGAGACTCTTGATAATATCCTCAACTTGTCAACTTTTGGTTGGCTACACAATCATAACATCATAACATTAAAACCAGATTTATGCTGGTGATTCTTTAGTTCTAGAGAATCGCTCAGACAGGCTATCTGTAGCAAAACCTCTTTAACCATCAAAGATTTTGACACGTCGTCAAAACCTTTTTGCACCTGCAAAGCTGATGAGCAAACAGTTCCTGCAGAATAAGCCAATATTGTGTAGACTCCTTCAGAGTCCCAGATGCTCGGTTCCAGCCCTCTGTCGTGACCCGAGACATCTCTGGACTGAAAGGATCGGTACCACGGTATTCTACAGCCCTCCGGTGCCAGCGGTCATCCAACCTCTATGACTTTCAGATCCACCAAGAGGGTCTCTGAATACGGGTAATGTAGACACACAGATAGTGTCTGATGTGGGTTTGTGATAACAATCAACCTCATAGTTTAACACAGACCAAATTCTTTTACATCCAGAACTCAGCTCTCTGAGATACGGAAGTTCTGACCAACATCGCATCCACACATAGGTTCCAGACATCACCTTTAGCTCCATCCACTCACAGTACATAATAGTTAACCAATTTGTCATGTTTTAAATTGTTTGTAAAATAAATACTTACTTTTATAAACTTGACTCTTTCTTGAAGTAACACGAAGTGTGGTTGATCACTGAAAAAGCAAAGAACCTAGATCTTCTGAATTAAATCCTAGAATCTTCTGAATAATTACAATAAAGACCTCGCAGGTTAATATTTTATATTCATATAGAATATTACATATTCGTGGTCATAACAGATAAAATCATCAATTTGCCTCCGCTACTGTATTTAAATGAACTAGAGTTCTCCCCAGAATAGTCAGATGGTGATTAGAATCAGCAAATATTCATCCTATAAGCAAATCGATAATTGACCAATCCTTAACTTAAAATAAATAAATAAAAATAAAAATCAAGGGTTTTTTTTTTTTGCTGGAGCTTTTTCTTTTTTTTCCTGAAGAGAAGCATTAAAATACAATTTAAAATTTGCCAAAATATGTATCATCAAGTCAGAGCCATGCAAAAAGTTAGTGCATCTCTAGAATAAACCCAACATCTTGCTTTTTAACACCAATAATCTGTGAATCTGCATCCACTATCAGCATGCTAGTGTCTGTTCATCTTTAGATCCTCACACTGAATAAAAATGAGCCAGTAACAGACTGGGACTGCTACAAGATGACACCAGTCTGCACGTGCTGGCCCACCCAATCTGACTGGAGGCATGCAAAGTAGAATGAAAGGACACCACACAGAAAATCTATGGGATAAAGCAAGTCACTGAAAGACTCACAAAGCTAAATGTTTTTGCAGGAATAAAATAACTCAATAATTGGAATAAACATAAGAAAAGATTAGTTGCTGCTGTAATATTTGAAACAAAACATGCATATTATCAGTTCCTGATGGTAAAGTAGAAGGTTTATCTTACACAAACACCAAGCAAATTTAATTTGCAGTCTCTGTGGCTGAGTTTAGAAAATGTTAGTGTCAAGGGTCCAGACCTGATAAAGCACTGACCTTTGACCTCTGTAGGTTTGATCTGACATCAAACACCACCCCTCTTAAAGCAAATGTAAAACACAAACACCCAAATGGAATGAATTTCAGATTGAAGCAACATTTTGTAACAGGTGTTTGATGCATCTCAAAAGCAAAATATTAAAACCTTTTTTTTACGGTGTTCAGCTCTGGGTACATAGTTGAGATTGTTCAATGGCAAAGTCAGAAATACTTTGGATGCTTTGCGAGATGACTCCAAATGACAGCCATCACATGACAGAGTTCCTGAGGTGTGTCCCACCATCAGTAAAAAATACAACAGGTCGGGCGGATGTGACTTGCATGACATGTTTTTCAAGGCTCTAATCACCGTCTCCTGATGAAATAGGAACAAACTGGGGAGAGTGTGTGTAAGGAAATGTATAGTGACCAATCATTACTGTCGCTGTTTTTGGACTGGAAGATAAAAAAGCCACTCTGATTGAGAGGATAATTTAAGACTCATCAAATAAAATAGAACCAAAACATCAGACATCTTAAGACTTTTTTTAGTGTCATTTTAGTACTCCCCTCCCCAAATTATGGTTTACACTGAATTATTCATCAGTTTAGAGCAGTAACTGTAACAATGTAAATAAATGAAATATATGTTCAAAAGAAAATATATGAGCAGCTGCTCCGACACATTTATGGAGGCAAAAATGTAAAATATGTGCTCCTTCCAGGTCTCAAAATATGAATCTAGGTTCCTCCCTTACATACAGTTATTTGTTGATGATAGGTGGGTGGGTGTGTTTTGAACAAACAAGAAAACTAGCTTTTACAAAAACTGAAAAGTTAAAATGCCTACCACTAATCATGAACACATTGTGAAAACTACAATGATACTGCAAATAGTACTAATACTAATACTAGCTGTACCGTATAATATTGCCCCTATATAATGCCTTTTGAACTATTTTTTTTAAATTCGTACATATTTCAGGTCTGTATTCTTGTCACATCTATCATAACAGTTTAAAAAGACGGGGTAGCTTGTAACAAGAGTAAATCAGGCAGACAACAACCAAATGCTTGTCAATCTCAGTTGAAGATAAGTCAACTTAGTTAGCATTGTTAGCTATTTGAGCTACAAGAAAAGATTCAAAGCTTTTAAACTACTATGCAAAAGAAAACACACACTTCGTTTAAGTAATACAAAAATTTTAGATGTCCAGCTGACACATTTATGAAATTCCACAGAGACTACTTTCAGGTTGACAGGACGTCTGGACAGTTTCACCCGATCGCTCAAGTTTACCGAAACCTGCTGATAACCCAACATTAGCTTTCCGTTAGCTCACGATAGCTACCTGATTAGCAACCAAGTCTAAAACTTTCCTTTGAGAGTAAATATAAAAAATATGACAGCATAGTGGAAAACACATTGAGTTATTACCCTTTATAATACGCCTTCACCCGGACTTGGTGGGAATTTTCGCCGGGGTGGGACATGGTGCTGTCCCGCAACGTCGGCATCATCAGCTCCGCTCAGAATCACCGATACCTCTCTGCCCTCTTCAGCTCTGAACGCATTCACCACGCCCTGAAGCACTCTGATTTAATGGTCCGTCGAAAGGGGTACTTAATGAGGCCAGTGGTGATAAAAGTCGAGACGTTGGCCCTCCTCGGTCAAACCAAATCAACATGTAAAGTAGAGGTAAACTTACAGGGTCCGCCAAACAACTCCCTACCGCAAAGGCCTAACGATGGACTGAACCATTGTCGAAAAGATAAGGGGGAGAAACTTAAACGCGCACACTCGTAGAAAACAAAAAGAAAACACATACTTTTCAAAATATCAAGAAAATACGTAGTAGTTAATATTTAAAATCAGCATAACGCCAAAAACACCCCAAAAATTTCAATTTATCCACTCTACTAAAACTGGGACTGAACCAACTCATTTAGCTGTAGTCCAGTGCTGCCTTCACGTTCAAACATTTCAGCTCGGAAATCATCACGCCCCTTTAAGATATGTCTACCTTTCAAGATCTCTGGCTCGGAAGTAACAAGACAACAATGAATAATAACAAAGACAAACTACTTTATATATTATTTTTAAAATAGCCATAAGGGTTATGTTGTAGTGCGTTAAAAATCGGGGAAGTGGTGCATGTACGGGTGTGTGAACATTTGTCTCGTAATACAAATACTAATGTTGAAATATTATTACAATTTTATGTCCTTCTAATACATCAGAAAACATTTGCAGTTACAGACAAAAAACAAAATTTGAGCTGCCAACATAAACAATAAGAAAGACATATAAAAACGTTTGAAGCAATTTAATTTGAGGTTAGCATTACTATTTCACTTTTAATAATAATTTTAAAAAAATCATCAAAAAACGACCATTTCAAATCTGCTACATGTATTTTGCCCTCTGGGGGCACTGGAGTACTACACGTGGTAAATACCAATTATTTTTGTTTTTATTATTACTGTATTACTGTTTTTATTATTGCTGTAATTAAGTCCATTATTCATCATCGGAACTGTTAATTTCTCAGAAGGGTTGCAGGGAGTTTGTGCTTATCTCTAGGAGCCACTGGGGGAAAGGAGAGGAGGGGGACACCCCGCCCGCCAGAGCCATTAAGTTTTTAATCCATAATCAGATGAGTAGCTTAATCTTTAATTCACAATAGCAAGTATGAAAATTAATTAGCAATCTGATTAAAATACATAACATGATTCAAGCAGTGAACGATCAATACTGTAGTAACCATGGCAACGGCTAACTCCATCATCCACCCCACAAATAATCAGACAGTTCAGGTAAATAATTTTTTATTTTGAAACTTCACCATGTGCATTTCATGTCAGTCCACATCAATGTATTATTAAACCATTATCCCTATTAGGTTTAAACACCTAAATAAATTAATAGTGAGAGTAAAGTGGAAGAAAGAATGATATACTCACATATTTCTGCATTCAATTTGCTTTTGATCCATTGACGTGAAAAATTTGGCAATTGTTTTCTCATAATTTGGGAGAGGAACAGAAAACAGGCACGTTTTTCAAGATATTTATCAAGATGAAACAAACTTAAATACATATTTAAAATCATTAAAAGTTTTGACATGAATAGCCTCAACAATGAATGAAAACTGAATTAACTGGTATTAATTTTTTCCTAAGTAATAATTAGAGATTCTACAATAACTCAGAACAGACACATTTATTGGCTGTTATTAAAAAAATAAATTTGTGATTTGAGAAGGGTAAAGGTGGAATTGTTTTGGTGCAATATTTGGGAAAAGCTCCCAGCTTTCATGTAATCCCGCTGAGTTCATCCTAAATCAAATGGATTTTTAAAATTTCTCATCTGAAACGGTTTCTGTATTTCAGCAAACCACCAGCAGAGGGCAGCATTTATACTCATTTCAGCTTTTTACACATGAACTAGCTTCCAAAAAGAAGCAGAATTCAGCAAATCTTGTAAACTATAAACGATTTTAATGAAAACACCTATGAAGGCACATTAAAGTGAATTTTAAGCAATTCAGTAAGAATTTGCTTCAGTGAAAATTCTTTTTGAAACAGGCCCAGACAGCTTTTCACAATCTTCTCTGAAGTCAGTGAACACATCAAAATTAATTCTGAAACACTGCTTTATTAGAAGTGCAGATGAGTACAGGATACTACAGACTATACATATATAATATATGCTTTTTGTTATATTTACAGGGAATGTAGATGCTAGATGAGAAACTGATGGAATGTATTGCATGTGCAGAGATGAAGCATAAATCCTGCAGTTTATACACTGAAAAGGTTTCCATGCACCATTTGGTTTACATGACTACTGTGCAAAAGCAGCTGCAGTTTAAGACTAAATGTGGCAAAAATGCTGTTAGCTTGATGGCAGGTGATCGCTCAGCGAGGCACCTCAGGCACTGCAAATACTAGTTTATACATTCCCAAATCAGGCAGCTTTACTTTACAGGTCTGTAATCTGATTCAGATTGATTTAATGATAATTTTCGAGAATAATTCCTGGAAGACAATATTTGGCACCAATTTAACATAAAAGAGAACCACTTTTAAATAAATTATAACCTGTAAAACAAAGCGTTACCCTAAAGCTGTGCTGAAAGTCTCAGTCCAGACATCAGGGAGACTTTAAATGTCGACTGAAACCAACAAAAGCATGTAGCTGTATGAATAAATACCCCTGAATCCCTCATAAATCTAGTATTGTACATGTATATTGGGGAACTTTCTTAAATAATGATGCAAACTTGGAAAAAAAGAAAAAAAAGACTAAAAAAGTTCTTAAAATAATAAAGTGGTAAAAAAGATGCATTCCAACTCTCAGATTGCAACAACAGCTGATTTACAGAACATCAAAGGTCTAAAATAATAAATTAATTTATAAAATGTATGGGAATGACTTCAACATTCTATCCTCTTGACCTACAAAGGAAGGAGTGTTTCAGATGAGCAGCAGCACAGCGTTGGAAGATGACAGTGTGTGACATCGTCCTACTCAGGGCATGCTGCCAGAACCGAAACCATCCATCTCCATGGACACGGACTTGATCAGCTCCTCCACCCAGCGAACCTCAGAGGCCACCTGCTCAACCAGGACCTCATAGCGGTTTTCCAGCCGCCCAAACTTGCGCTTGAGGGTGTTGGCGCTCTGCATAGTTTGCCGGGTGTCCTCCTGGCACTTCTTGCGCTGGGATTGCGTGCGCTGCAGCTCCTGGCGAATGTGGCTCAGGTCGGCAGAGATACTCTGGTTCTCCTCCTTGTACCAGCCCTCCTTCTCCTCATATATGGACAGCAGAGCCACTACATCCTCCTGGCAGGAGCGCTGGTTGCGCTCCAGCTCTTTCAGGCCCTCCTCTGCCACTGCTATCTCTTCAAGCACCTGGGAGAAGCGCTCAAAGTTCACGTAGGTGTTGTTGGGAGGCATGCTGGAGTGGGACTTGATGGTGTACTCCTTCAGCCGTGTGGTCTTCAGACGCCGACGCTCCGTCTTGTGGTCTCTGTCCTCCTGCCGAACGTTCCGTCTCTTGATCACCTGGAGGAGAAAAATATATATATAATCTGGAATAAAAAGTGACACCCAACAAGGAAGGCAAAATGTTGAGGAATCCACTTTTCCTAGAAGATAACGAAAATGCTCACCTTAATCCAGGAATGCTCAAGACTCTCATTTATTGTCATTCTCTTCCTGTGAAAGACAATTATCCATCAGTTTGAAAATAAGTAGACCAAGATATTTATTAGATTATAATTCTGATGTTTTCTTTTACAGAATATACGCAAATTTGAGACAGGAGTGTATATTTTACTTTGGATCCTTGACCAGCAGACGGCGTATAAAGTCCTTGGCCAGCTCGCTGGTGTTGCTGAAATACTCCTCATCAAAGTCGTAGTTAACAGCAGAAATATTGGTTAAAGTCTCCTGCTTGGTCTCACCCAGAAATGGCGATGCGCCGCTCAACCTAAGGTGGGACAGAGTTGGATGTAGACCTCGCAAGACCACAGTGACTCAACAGACAGACGTGATGTGATGCGTTACTCACAGAATGTACGTGATCACTCCGATGCTCCTGCAGACAAGAGGAGACAGGTAAAATAAGGAGGGGAAGCATCAGACGGTTTAGTAAAAAAACTTCTGATGAGAAGGGGGGGAAAAAAGGTACAGAATGGCATCTTACCACATGTCTGCCTCCAGGCCAAGTGGCTCGTAGTTGACTATTTCTGGCGCTGTAAAGAACAGAGGAATGAGCGCTTTAATTCAAACCAGATGTGATCTGAGGGGGAAAATCTTCCACTCTACATGGTTTAGCTGAGAGGCCTGCTTGGAAGAACGTCAGCTGAATTTTAGGTTGTGGGTTCTTACCGACAAACTCTGGTGTTCCAAAGATGTTTTTGAACTCGTTTCCAGCTTTGATCTGGTGAGCGATCCCAAAATCGATCAGCTTGATCCTGGGGTTGGGCACATTCTTGTCCAGAAGCATGATGTTCTCAGGCTGAAATATTAAAGCAGAATAAAAGAAAATGATGTGAAAACATTTTTAATTGTTGTTCCAATATCATTAATCAATATTTGTCGCTCTGAGAAACATCATTAAAGTCGTGCTCGTTAGTAGTTCTGATAAAAACGTCTAAACTCTGATTCTGCCAAATATTTTACATCCCCAGCTTCCCTTTAGGCTGCTGACCTTCAGGTCGAAGTGGGCGATGCGTTTGACGTGAAGGTACTGAACTCCGTCCAGGATCTGCTTCAGAAACTGCGTGGCCTCCTCCTCGGTCAGAGACTCCTTCTCAGCCAGGAAGTCAAACAGCTCCCCGCCGGACACCAGCTCCAGGATCAGGATGACGTCCGTCTTGTTTTCGAAGATATCGTGCAGGGTGATGATGTTGCTGTGCTCGATCTCCCGCAGGATGTTGACCTCGCGCTCAATCTCCTCACGGCTCACACCCCGCCGGCTGGACGACAGGCGGCGCTTCTTGATGAATTTGGCTGCATACTCGATACCCGTGCTCTTCTCTTTGCACTTACGGACGATGGCAAACTGCCCACTGCAGAGGGAAAGGATGAGAGAGACGCTGCATCAACAAATTGTGTTAGAATATTTTAGGGTGAGATTTAAACTGCCCAATAAATGAGGAGGTAATCTACCAGAAAATAGATAAGTTTAGATTAATGCAATTTAACAACAGAAAAAAGAAGCACACAGCATTTTACAGTGCAGTCCATTCTCCATCACTTAATATGTGCAGCTTGTCTTGGCAAACTCACAGCGTTCTCATCTTTGGAGACAAAGCCGAGGTGGAAGGACACACTTGGTGGACTTGATGTCACACTTTTGCTGCATTACTGCAGAAGAAAACCAGCTAATACAGAGAGGTGGGTTTAATCTTTAAAAAATGTTGACTCATCTCCAGAACTGTCCAGCACAGCATAAAGGGATGTAGGATTATTTTTATTGTTGCTGGTGCAATGCAAAAATTATTTAGCCCAGTTTGGATGCTGAGCTTTGGGTCAGATGAGGTTGAAACTGAGCATCTTGTGCCTGATCTGCCTTCAGTTCTCAGAATTACACAATTGTTTTTTTCCAAGCACACATTTGAGGAAAAAAAAAAAAGAAGGAATTTAAAGCATCATGATGTTTTTGATGCTGTTCTTACCTGCCCAGCTCCTCCCCCATCTCATAATACAGCTCTACATCCTCCTGCCTGAAGCCAGCCATGGTGCTGACTCGAACAATGATGGGAGAGATGCCTTAAAAACTTCCTACAGCAAAGGAGAAAAGTTAGACGCACGTAAATAATAACATACTGACGATTAAAAATGTGGCACAAACACAATCAATATGACGATTACAGCTGTAAGCTTTCATTACAAAGCATCGGAGTATTGTTCAGTCCAAAAATGGTAAATCACCCCTTATGACCTTGACTTCTTCCCTCCTTATTTGGTTCTAATCAACACAGCTTCAGTGTTTTTTTTTTCTCAGAGACTTTAGGCTGATGTCAGACCTCTGCATACCAGTCCTACTGACATCACCTCCTGTCCCGGTCCAGCTAACTCTGGCTCGATTAAAGGGGCTGGAATTTGTCCACACAGACATGTTTTAAAGTTTGTTTAGAACAACTGCAGATAAGTTGTATAGTGTAAGGGCTTTTGCAAAAGCATAAGCTACAACATCCGGCTGTTGTGTCAGAGAAGCCAGCAACACAGACCTTCCTCACCGACAACTATTAATAAAAACAGCCCGACTAAAGAGCTTTATTACACGCAGCTAGGAGAATAAAGTCGACAAACATCTATTCAATAGTAACATATTTAGAATGATATGAGAAGAACTAAATTAAACCGTGGCCACAGACGACAGCTAGCTGTACTGGTTAACAAGTTAGCGTAAAAAACACCGGCCGGGATGTCTTTGTTTTCACCACACCTCCGTATCCTGATACTTTAGCATAAATACGTTTATTGTTAGATACTAAAAGTACATTTTTATAATACACAGTTAACCCTAAGAATCTGAAGTCAACAAAATAGTTACTCACGGTATGGATGGCTACCAGCGCTGCATTCCTTATCCTGGGAACTGGGCGAGCGGATCTTTGGTCTGAGCAGTTTCAGTTTAGCCACAGCCAAACAACACGCTTCCGGTTTGTTGTGTCAAAATAAGTATTTAAAACCTGAAATAAATGTGGTATTTTAAAAATAAATTTTGTAAGAATTTTGTTTTATTCAGTTTATTCTGGTCTGTATGTTTTGTTTGGAAAATTGGAAAGTATATAATAGATTTGGTGTATTTAAATGCTTTTAAACTTTATTGTGAAATCTAGCATAACTTATTTTCCGGTGCTGACGTTTAACTTGACAAAGGTAAACATCCAACAGGACAGAAGGAAGGCCATATGGAATGACATCAGGCTGAGAGAATTGACTGAATTACGTCTGAAAAACAAGATTGAGCACGCAACTGCAATGATTAAGGCTCCTAATGAGGAACAGTGGAAAGAAAAAAAACCTTGGTTCACATGGCAGAAAGTTTCATGTAGAAAATGTTGGTTTATTTTTATATAATGGCTGGGAAATGAACAATCATCCATACACGAACGTTTACAAAATATTGGTTACGAGCATACGAGCCAAGCTAATTAGAGCCAAGGAGTCTGTCAGGAGCGCGCACTGGAAGGTCACTGGACAGGTAGCGCGGATCCAGTGGACTGCGCCTTGATTCCAACTAGTTAAACGTAGAATTAGGTTTTTCCAAAATATTGTGTCTTTACATAATCATTCAGTCTGTGACAACAGAAGGTGCTACTTTTTTTGTTTGCATTTATTATTACGACATTGCTGGATAAATGTCACCCTCTTGTGGGGATTTAGTGAGCTTAGACAAGACGTCTTTTTAAAAATGCCTATTTTTCTAATTATGGGGTTTAATTTTTTCACCTATTAGGTAAGTCTTAGCTTTGGCTCTAAATGTTTAGGAGGGGTTGATTTTAAAATCTGTTGAAAATCCATCCAAAAATGGATGAATGAATGTATGATTTTCAAATCAATTGTAGCTTTCAGTGAGAGCTATCTGAAGAAGGCAAAAGGAAAAGAAAACGGTTTCTCTTCCTTGACTTTTTGACGCTGCTTGTGTGACGTCTGTCGCCGCCTGGTGGTAAATAGTTGAAATTACAATTAAAAAATAAACCTTTTCTATGGTTACGCTTCCTGATGGAACAAAAATCATAACATCGTAAACTAATCATGTAAAACGCAACAAAAATTCCATTCAATAAATTACTATAAATTAAGAGAACTTTCAAAAAGAAAACTGTCGCAACTGTGAACATGCCAACGTGCTAAGGTCTTCTTTCTTTGGCTGCTGTTTCCGCTGAATTTATCGCAACCTGGTGGCGATTTAGTGACATTACAACAAATCAAAAATAAACCTTTCTAATGGTACATCGCTACCTAGTATTTACAGTCTATGATCGCTACGCTACCTGAACGCAATGACATATTTTATTCAATAAATTGCTATCAATTAAAATAACGTGCACAATGTTGCAACTGTGAACATGCTAAAAGCTCCATTCTTCTTCGCTGCTGCACTATTTAAGACATTCAACTCTTCATAGTAGACAGCGACTATTGCCATTGAATGAAAGAAAACAGCTCATTCAAATTATCTTACCAAAGCAGGGCTGAATGTTCTGACTTATACACGTTTTACCCTGATATAAAAAAATCAATTTAATATAAAAACAAAACAATTCTATCTGAGACATCTTCCCAAACCATTTATTTAAAAAGTTGTTTGGGGCGGGGTTCTGAATTTGTTGTTGAAATGTACATTTTCAGCCGAGTTTTAAGCTCAATAATTTTTTTGCGGTGAGAAGCAGAAGCATGAAGTTAGTACTACTAGGCTTTACAACACAGTCATGATGCAGATCTGATGATAAAATCAGAATTCAGTGCTGTGACAGTTGTGGGAACAAAGATTAGGCAACTACTGGAATAACGGAACGCACTGAAAACTGCATGTCCATACAGGTAAGCTGTCTGAGAGCGGGTTTTCTGCAACAAAGCAACAGAAATAAATACACCAAACAGCAAAAAAGACACTCTTCATCACTACTGTTCATGTATTGAAAATGACATAATCATGAACTTTATTTTTGCTCCGTTTGGTCTAAAACACAATACCTAGCACCAATACTGTAATTGTTTGGACCCAAAACCATTTTTAAAGACAAATGAACAAAAAAAAAAACATAAATACATAAATGGGATAAAAATGTTTAGCAGTCATGAGTGAAATTGAAAGAATTGAATGGCATGTGGAAACTCTTTTACAAAATCTAGTTCTTTTGTTTTCGTCGTTGTTGGATGTTCTTGTCATTTTACAAACTGTTCAGCTCCTGCAGCGTTTGGTCCAGGACTTGGTGCATTCCTACATTTTCCTCTTTTGCATGTGAAAGGTTCTCTGTAATAAACAGAAGTAGAGTAAACAAAAATTAAATGCAATTATACTTTCGTGCAACACGCAACCCCCAAAAAGTTGATTAGACAAAGAATGAATGAAAGAGGAAAAAGAGTAGAGAAAATATCTTTATTGTGCTTCAGGTCAGAACAAAGGCACAAAGGAGCGGTGAGAGAAGAAGCGACTAAATGCCTTTAAGATGCCACACAGAAGCAAACAAAGTAAAAACACAAGTTTTACAAGGTGTTCATATCATTGAGGGCGTGATCCAGCTCCTCGCTGATAGCCTTGTATCTCAGCTTCTGGGTGTACAACTCGTCTGAAGGTAGGAAGGCACAGAAAGGAGGAAGGCAGGGTGGAGAGAGAGGAACATTGTGAAGACAAAAGGGAGAAAAAGAGAAGTGAAGATAATTAAATCTTAACTACAGTAAAGGAATGAAGAGGCTCAGTGGAAGAGACAGTATGGATGGATTAAAAAATAAAAGTACAACACAAACCTTCTAGGTCATCTATGGTCTTTTCAAGCTTTGAAACTGTCCTTTCTGCAAATTCTGCACGAGTTTCCGCCTTTTAAAAATAATAAAAAAAAAAAGATAAATACATATTATTAGTATATATTAAATATTCTGTAGTACAGAAGATGACTAGGGCCACTGAAAAGAAAAAAGTAAAGAAAGAGAATTCTGACTTTTTCCTCAGGATCCAACTTTAACAACCCTGAGATAAAAAGTCAGAACTCTGACAAAAATCTATGAGTTCTGAGATTAAAGTCAAAATTCTGAGGAAAAAAAGTCTGAATTCTCTTTCTTTACTTTTCATTCTTTTCAGTGGCCCTAACCCTCTTCCGTGCTGAAGCAACCCCGAAGAGCAACTCAAAGAGACGAGAATTTACCTCCTTAAGTCTGTCGTTCAGGACTTTAATCTCCTCTTCGTATTTGTCTTCTTTCTCAGAGTACTAAACACAAAAAGGAAACGGTTTTGTTGTAATCAGCTGTAGTAATCAGTATTTATCAGTTTCTGGCAAACTTCGGTGATACCTTATCAGACTGAGCCTCCAGAGATTTGAGGTTGTTGGTGACATTTTTCAGCTCTTCTTCCAGGTCGCTGCACTTCCTGCAAGAACAACAGACACATTCTTGTTCCAGTCCTTTCAACAAATATTAAATAACAGCGCGTGGCTTTTTTTTGTGATGGTGCGTACAGTTCAGCGATTTCCGCTCTCTCTTCCGCCCTCTCCAGCTCCCCCTCGAGGATCACCAGTTTACGAGCAACCTGTTAAAAACACGCAAAATCACCGCTGATTAAAAGAGGAAATGATGTCAGAGCTGTTTCAAAACTGTACCAGAAACACGGATGTGTGAGCATGTACCTCCTCGTATTTTCGGTCAGCCTCCTCAGCGATGTGTTTGGCCTCTTTGAGCTGCATCTCCTGAATCTCCATCTTCTCCTCGTCTTTCATGGCTCGGTTCTCAATCACCTTCATGCCTCTGCAGATGAGAGTTTAACGAAGATGTGATCCAAGATGCAAAAATGAACTTGTGTTTTGGTCTTAATGTAAAAAAAAGTTCCTATTATTTCACTCTAGAGGTCAAAACAACTTGTGAAATATTCCATTTCTGTGAAGAGTCTTGGTTTTGAAAGATTAAACATAAGAATGTAAAACTTTGACTTATTAGAAGACGTTTTCTGGCTGTTCTGGTCCGTCACCTTTCACTTTCATCTGCAGCCTTCTCGGCCTCCTCCAGCTTCTGCAGGGCCGTGGCCAGCCTCTCCTGGGCCCGGTCCAACTCCTCCTCCACCAGTTGGATGCGTCGGTTCAGAGATGCCACTTCACCCTCGGCCTTTAGCCACACAAGAACAGCGAGAGATTGCAGAAGAAATGTTGGAGGTCATCCGTAAAACATTCTTTCATTCCTTCCTAGAAATCCATCGGATCAACATAATCTTACAGATAACAGTCAAATGATATTTAAAACATCACGTTGGAACACTTAACTAGTCCACAAGTCTGAACCTGAACACGAGTCGGTAGAGCACTGGGGTTGCATGACATGATGAAAACTGTGACATTACTGAATGTTGTGTTAAATTTAAAACCCAAACCAGGCATGGCCATCACGATCTGTGATGATTCTGACTGGCCCCATGCTAGAAGGGCATACTAGCCTTTGTTTCACTGCAGTCCTTCAAAAGGTGATGCTGGTATATTTTTGTTCTAAATTGCACCAATTATCAGCCATAATGAACATCCATTCTTTTTTTTCTTTTTCTCACACAAGCTCTTGCTCCAATATTCTGAACACAGGAAGTGATGGGTGAGTTTTGATAAGATTCCACATCTGAAGACGTCAACGTGCCGTCATTTAAAGCGTGACTGATGAGTCCCGACTTGCAGGAATCTGCATGCATCCCAACGTTTACAACTTTGAGATTTTTTATGTGCATTTTGCTCAAGCTTCTGCATCAAAACAGCAAAAACTGGGATCAACCTTTGATGTGTGTGAGATCACTCAAACCTCTCAAGCAACATCCCTTCCTGATCAATCATGAACTGGAGATGTGCCGCTGCAGCTATATGGCCGCCCGTTTCACCTTTAGCAGCTGTCATGAGGACTGGACTTTGCAGCCTGAGTAGACACTTTGAAAACATGCTGACACAAAGAAAAACTCTGAAAACTCTGAGACGCTACAGCTGGTCTCACAGGCTGCTTCCTGCAGGGCTGATATCTCAGATAACCACGTCTGTTGTCCTCTTCCTGTGGCCCCAAAACAAGGAGGATGCAGGAAGGATTACAGCTCCTTATTTCAGACGGGCTTTGTCTTAAAAGTTATTCAACCCTAAAAGAGTAAAGGAAGTGGAACAAAGACTTTTGGATGCTTGACCGAAAAACTGTCCTTCATGTCTCCAACTGGTGGGGAACAAATGAAATCCTATGTGAACTTTATAAACGTGCAGTTTATTTTTAATTACACTGATCATATGGAGCTGATTGTGTGGATAGGGGTGGGTTGATCAACACAGCTCACAAAATGTGGGTAATAATTAATCCAGATGACCAAACATTAGATAAAAGAATGAAAAAAGACAAGTTAAAGGATTTAACTGTAGACTAATAATGAATAACGGACGAGTTTAAACCCTTAGATGTTTATTATTTACATAAACCGGATTAAACATTAGTTTGTCTCACTTTTTCGCGCAGTTCCTGTTCTGTTTCCAGCTCCTTTTGTATCACCAGAGCGCGATCCTCTGCCTCATCAACCTGCAACTGCAGAGTTTGGATTTTCTTCTTCACCATCTCCATGTTCTCGGTGATTTTAGCGTCTCAGAGCAAAGAAAAATCCCAAAAGAGAGCTGACGGTCTCGCTTCTGAAGCTTCAAACTCTGAGGAAAAAGTTTCTTTCCTTTTTTACCGACCGACAGGAAATCATGGACGCGCAGAGCTGGGATGGGATGGGTTGGAGAGAGGGGGGGAGAAAAGAAAAGAAATAGGCTGGGAGTTTTCAGGAAATTTATGACGAGATCACCCAATCCCGGCTGGGGTGACATCACGGCTTCAGGAGGGGAGGGGGCAGCCCTTTTCCTCCACAAAAGAGGTGCGTAACGTCGGTTCTTTTAGGGTGAGGACTTTATAAGGGTGTTGGTGCGTTCTGCTGCTCTGGATGAGGAGATCAAGCTCTGGATGAGTCATTTTGAATATGAATCAGATCTGATTACTTGAAGAGGAAATGAAGAAAGCAGGAGAAAAAGGGAGGAAGAAGTAGAAAAAGAGGAGGAGGAAGGGGAGGAAGTGGAGGAAGAGGAGGAGGCACTGGGTGGGGCTGCAACAATCCCATTCAACTAGGGTTGTTGACCTGCTCTGGCCTGGAATGTAAATTGATTTGTTTGGAGACTTGACCCGCAGCCATCGGGTGTCAAAACATTCCTTCGGGGCCCCTTTGTGCCCCCTACCTCCGTTTTTTCAAAGCAGATGCTGGATTTATTCTTTCTTTCTAAACTTTCACGCATCAGCTCCCCCAGACAACAGATGAAGTAACAGCAGTTTAGCCTACAAATAAATGCACCTGATGTCGTCTGTTTGCACCATTAACCCAGAAAGGGCTCCACCTTTAAAATCTGACCTCACCTGATTTTGCAGAGTGAAAAAAAGCAATATGTAGATCCAGTATGTATAAAATGACCACTATTCCTTTACATGATGCTTCCAGCCAAACCATCATGGATTAAAATAAAATGATAAACAAATATAGTTTATATATTTCAAGCTCTAAGTCCATAGTTCCCTGGCTTTTGGGGACCCCATTGGGGGGTGATGGACCCTAGGTTGGGCCCAACTGCTCAACGTTATTATTTAAAGTGTTTATTCTCTCTCTCTCTTCTTGTTGAATGAAACCAAGATTGAAACTTATAAAATGTGTGTTTGTGTTTATTGGACCGCTTTAGAACAACAGCAAAAAGTCAATAATGCCTTTCAGAGCACAAATCAATATTTAAACATAAAACTTCCATCTCACGCTTACCTTCCCTCTTCCCTTCGAGCTCAGGTGCCACCAGAGGCCTTGGAGATGTTCTTGGAACTGAAATCTTCAGATCACGGAGATTGCTCCTTGGATCAGTTTGGGGTTCATTTCTCTGATGCATCAGCCTTCTACAACTACTCTAAATCCTTTTTCAGATCTTAGGGTTTTCCCCACTTGTTGGGTCCCTGGTTCATCTTTGCTGCCAGGTGTTCACTGAGAGCAGTTATCTCCAGCCAGGTGTGTGGATCATATCAGGATCTGATGCAACCTTATCTTTGACTTGTTCTTGGATGTCTGCCACTGTGATATGTCAGGCTTCCTGTTCTGAGAGACTGATGCTATAATCAGAGATTTGCTTTTTCCATTTGCTTCTCTGGTATTATCCAGTTTCAGCTCTTGGTCTCACATTCTTCCTCCTGCCACTGAGACTAAACCTTGGATGGTGAAGGCATACAGCGAGGTTTGAGTCCCTGTTCGATCCCATCCTAGCCAACCTTGAGCGACCTCGCTGAATGAGCCAGAGACACAACAGTGCGACTCAGATGTCACCCAGATCAACAAGGTCCACGTCAGTTATTGAGAACCAGGAAATTCTGACGAGAAATGGTCTACCAGAATAAAACACCAATGCACAATGGATGTATATTTATTCGTTTTTCTTTTCAGTTGAATTTTAATGTGTGCTTCATTAGGCGGAAGGGACTGAAATGGTCTCTTTGTTTAACCCTCTCAGGCTCAAAATAAGTTTTGATAAAAGGACGAACAACTAAGTCCTTCAGGGGTTCTTCTGAGTTAAAAAATGCTCATGAAGTACGTACGTGGAGTAACCAGGTAGGTGGGTTTTAAAGTGCAACGCCTGCCTCCAGAGGGTTAACCAGAATGACAAAAGGTTGAAAAAAAAATACACAAAAGTTTGTGTTCAAAACATAACAGAAAGAAACGATGGGTGTTTTGTCTTTGTTCAGTCTGGTTAAAAACCGTCTAACAACAAACCAGTTGAACAAATAGAAATCCCACTCAGAGATGTGTTGGGATTATGAAATCAGGAATATGTGTCATATTTTAAATATGTTGCCTAAACCATCTCCATCCTAATCTAGACATTTTAAACACAAAACATGAAGGTTCAAAGACCATTAACTATTGCAGATGGACCATAGTTTGTAATTCAAGGCCACTCAGTAAACGTGTAATATTCCCCCCACCACAAAAGGCCAAAGCATTGATTTCATTAAACACTGCAGCATGGGGTTCTCTGTTTGCTTAAGCTGCATTCCTGGGATTCCTGCTCGGCTACAGGCTGGCCGAGTTTTGTCTGCATCTGAGAAAAGTGTTTAGTTACTGCCTTCAGCCAGCAACAAGTAACCTTTTCAGCACTGCCTGGCTTAGAAGATAAAAATCACCCATGTTGTGAGTTGTATGGTTACCACAGGATGTGAAGAGTGGGGCAAATGAACGAGTTTCATAATATTGTTGCAATTCTTCAAAATAAAAGTCCTTTTTATTCAATCTTATGAGTTTTTGAGTGAAAGTCAATGTACAATTGTGCTATTTCAAGAACCTTAGGCAACAGAAGTAGAAATGTGAAAAACCGCTGCATTTATTTAAACTAATCTTTGTTTCTCTTTGTTTTGGGATCTTGTTCTGTTGTTTAGTTACTTCCATCTGCGAGAGCGGACATTGATACCCTATAGGAGAGAAACCTGGATGGCTGCGGTGGCAGTGTGGCATGAATAATGTGTTTCACATGGCAACGATGCAGCAAACTCACATCTGTGGCTTTCTTTTCCGACAGTTCCAGCTTCTCCTGAGCCTCCTTCAGGGCCTCGGAGAACTTGTCCAGCTCGTCCTCTGTTCCCTTCAGTTTCTTCTGCAGAGCAAGCAGCTCGTCCTCCAGCTGGGAAGCAACAAAAAGGACATTAATGAAAGCTGACCGGAGAAAGCATTGACTTGTTTTAGCACGATTTTTGAGTCTAGGGTTAGGGTTATGCAACCTTTGAAGCCAAACAAATAAAATATGGGTACCACAGCTACTCATCATGAGCACAGAGCACAAGACAAAAAAAATATGCCTGTTTTGCAGATTCTGAGCTCAAATTTCATTGCAATTTTACAATATTGCATTAATCTGTGTTTGTGTAAGATTTTTAAGATGATTGTAGTTTAAAACTCTGGAATGAAAGGCGATGAGTATTCTGCTTTATTTCAAGGAATGCAAGGGCTTTACTCGGTTGTTAAGACTCTTTCTGGGTATCACTGAAGCTCATTGTTTAAAACAAATATCTGTATTGTAACACATGACAGTCCATCAGTCATAGTTGACATATTGACTGGTTAAAACCCAAAGTTTTACCACGACTCCATGCTGTCAACAATTTAATGAATGTGGATAATCTACCATGCTGCCTGTGGTTGATCAGGAGTAACTGGGACACATTCCTCATGGAAACAAGCTCATCCCCTGAATTTTCCAAATTCTTATGTAATTTGGTTTTACCCACTCCTCTAATTACTGCTGAGTCCAGGGCTGGTGTTCCATGTAACAGATGCTGATACTGCGCATTAATCTTTGTGTATTTTCGGTGTTTTCCCTCCTAACTGCACCATCAGCATCTTGCCAAGAATAGCAAAGTGCCTTTCAGCGCTGCTAGCATCCACGCCATGCTAACAAGCAAAAGAGCTCTGCATAATCTTCTAGGGTTTCATGACAACTGTAAGACATGAGGAGTGTCCATGTGTGCAGCGATAGTGACAAGTGTCACTCATTGAGCTCCGTGAGGACGTGATGAGGGCATCAGTCTCCTGAGAGGGGATTCCTTCCACTTACTTTAATGCCCATCCTGGTTTTGGGTGATCTTCTGCAGCTCCCTGCTCTTTTGCATTCCTCCCTCCCCAACCACAATGATGACACCTCCTCCAACGGTGCCATAACGGCTCACATTTAGAAACCTCAAATGTCCTGTCACATCCCCAGATTCTACTTTGTTTAAATAATGGGGAATAACTACTCTGTCATTATGTTGTGCTTGGAGATGGTTCAGAGGCTTGAGTGCAGCAGCACCAAATATGGATATAAGATGTTTTTTTCTTCTTCCAGACCTCATCTCAGATTAAGATGATGGAAGAGTAACTGGAGATTAAGTGTTTTGATTCTGATAGCTTTGTATAATCATTCTGATTCAGTCATGCAGCTTACACTTGATCTTTGCTTTACTGAACACTTTCTCCACTTTCTTCTCTCTGCTGTGAGCTAACGGGCTCAACAGCTGCAGAGTGTAAGTCAGCATTGTGTGCATCTGAGAAATATCCTGACGCATGTTTAAATCATACTGTTTGTGTTTGTTGTTGACCTAACTTCAGTTTAAAACCATTTTTTACATGTTCTTAGCATTTTACTGACACATGGTTACTATAAAACAGAGATTATTGATAAAGGTTATTAAAAGATGTCCTAGAGTCAAAAACTAACAAGTTATGCTAGGAAAACAGAACTCTGGTAGACGACATGTATGACCACAGGTTTTGCTCATATGAGCAGGTTTTTCTTTGATGGTTCGGTTTGTGCCAGATAATAAACACTTCTTCATATTTAATTTTGATAAATTGGTCTGTAGGATTTGGTATTTAGACAAAAATTATATTGAATTATTTTTCCAGTGCATCTTATTTTCTATCCCATCATCTCACCTGCTTGCATTTATCCTCAGCGTCCTTCTTGTCGGACTCCGCCTGCTCCGCCCTGTCGATGGCATTCTCTTTATCCAGCTTCAGCATCTGCATCTTCTTCTTGATGGCCTCCATGGTGATTGTTGGTGCTCAGTGTCTTTTGGGAAGGAGCTTTCTTTTTCTCCACAAGATGCAACAGATGAGTTTTCAGAAGGAGGTTGGTGAAGAGCGATCTGCAGATGGAGAGAAGAAGAGAGGAGACTGCAGGAGGGGCCGGGAGGAAGCAAAGTGAGAGTGTGTGAAGCTCAGTGTGATTTAAACCTGACTGGAGGTTTGGAGGCAGCTCCAGTCCCCTGTGACAGCCCTATCCCACCCGTTCACCCCTTCTGACACTCCCCATCTTCACTCCTCTAGAAACTGCTGTGCCCCCCCCCCACCCCACCCCCCCACTGTCTTTTTCTAATCTGAACTTCACCTCTCTAGAGCTCTTTGGAGGAAGAACATGTTGATAATCTGGGAATGTTCGTGTTTGGAGAAGATTAAGGGACAATAAATTAAAGAATAAGAGCTGAAATTAAAAATTTACATTGTTCCTTTTAACGAGTGGCTGTTTTTCCTCTTTTTGGAACGTCTATAGGCCTGTGCTTTTACTTAGGAATGCTCAAATTGATGTTAATACCAGAATTGGTTAGGAAGGACATAGCTTTCGTTCTACCACTGAATAAAAAAGAGCTGGATGGAAAATGAACCAGCCAAAGAAAATTTAGGGGGGAAGAGCTGTCTGCATGTGATCTACAGCAGACCGGCAGAGTCGAGCTACGCAGAAACAAACCAACTAGAATTTAGATCATCTTAATTACTGTTGGTTTGATGGACCTTTATTTAGATCAGATGTATTTGTGAGGGGAAATTCATGAAAGTCTTTTAGATTTCTGAGACTGTTTCCAGGATTTTCTAGGTGCTTGAAAATTAGCTGAGCAAAGACTTTATGTTGTTTGTCCACAAGACTGTCGTGTTGGAAGTTAGGATTCAGAAAGAACAGAGAACAAAAGTCCATTTTTCTATTCAGAGTTTGCAAATTTTGAACTAAACTATGAATCTGAGAACTTGTTTGTGTTTGTTGATGATGTTAGCAGCATTAATGTGTCTGCTTGTCTTCAGCTCCTCTGTGTCAGCTGTCCAGGCTAAAAATAAGAATTAGCAGAGAACCAAGAGAACAGCGGTGGTTCTGCAGAGGCCATTCAAGCTACACTCAGCGATGAAAGTTTAATGAAGGCAATGTGCATCATCCTTTTTATTCAGACACATCCTAACTTCCCAGATTGTTTTTCAGAAGACTTTGTTCAACATCTATCTTGGTTCCACGATGAATCTCCACAGCTGGAATTTAGAGGTTTTAAGAAAAAAGTTTAAAAAATCTGTTGAAGGAAAATGTTTAACTATATCCTGGGATCTAGCCCATCACATTTGCTAAAGCAAAACTGACACAGCAGTGTTAGCATCATCCAACTAAAACGAACATTGTTTTTCCAGGTTTAAACTTAAGCATATCTTAATAAAGAACCTTTTTTCTGACCCTAGCTGTGCTCACGTCAGCAGATAAAGAAGTATGGAAACCCACTAGTATCTGTGTTTTATATTTTTTGGCTTCCCAGACCTCTCCCTGAGGAGAACTATCAAGTTTAACATGAAGGAAAATGCAGCTTTTCTTCCTTCTAAAAGAGTCAGCCAGTGTTGTGCCTTAAAGGTGGGAATGTTTCTGGACAAATTATGGAAACTGGCCTTATTTGGCTAAAGTTTATGAAAGTGAAGGCAGTCAGCACATATTTTGACTCAAATGATACAAACTTTATGTGCTTTGTGAAAAATACTGGCTACCAGTATTATGATTTAAAGCTTCAATAGAGACGCTACTTGATGAAACTCATTGAACGCTGGACACAGACTGTAAGAAAAGAAAAGAGAGATGGAGAAAACAAATAGAGATGGGGTGAATCAGAAGAGGAGTGAGAGAAATCAGAACCCTCCCACAGGAAACCAGGCTAAACTCCTCTTCTCCTTGTATGGTAAAAATTCCCTCAAACGCCACAGTATCGCCTTGGGAGTAGAGTCAGTCCTGCTAAGTATAAATCACAAAGCTATGGGAACAGTACAGCAGACAAGCGTTTATATGAACCCTTCCATGAAGAACGCAAACTATTGTTAACCCTCTCAGACTCAAATAAAGTTTTGATAAAAGGACGAACAACTAAGTCCTTCAGGGGTACTTCTGAGTTAAAAAATGCTCATGAAATAAGTGTGTGGAGTAACCAGGTAGGTGGGTTTTAACGTTGCAAATCTGCAACGCCTGCCTCCAGAGGGTTAATGTCCGCTTTAGCTTACATAAATAGGTACATGTATAGATTGCTTTAGTGGTGTTCACACATGTGACTAATCCAGTGTAACACTTGTGTGATACCCCAGCATCACGACAGCCTGATGCCGAAACTCTGAAGTGTTTGGAAAAGATCTGAAAAACTTTTTTCTTTTACTAGAATAAAATATTGTTTTATTTATCTTGTATAATTTGAGACTGTGTACATGTTATTCTTGTTCATGCACCAAATCTCCTGGGTTGATCTTGTAGTAGCTTTATTTTAAGCCCATGCCACATAGCAGTAGTTTTGTGTCTTAAGACACTGACAGATTCATGTGACATTTATAGATCAGGGAGCAAAAACACACTGACTTATGTTTCATGAGTCTATTACCTTCTGATGATCTCAGTGCTGGCTGCTTGGATGCCATGTTTTGCTCATTAATAGCAAGTCAGTGGAATTATTGACTGCTTCGGGGAGGGTTTGAGCAGATAAACGTCAGTGTTTATGACCACAAGGAATCATACCATTAAATAATTTAAACAGCAGTTTTAGTGATGACTGTCCCATGGTTTTGTACCACAATAACATGTTTAGATTTGATCTGGCATGGTAGATATTTGTGCAAAGAATTTAACCCTCTCAGGCTCAAAATAAGTTTTGACAAAAGGACGAACAACTAAGTCCTTCAGGGGTACTTCTGTTAAAAAATGCTCATGAAATACGTATGTGGAGTAACCAGGTATCTGTTGCAAATCTGCAACGCCTGCCTCCAGAGGGTTAAACAGAATAAATGATGAAGTGATCATGTAGTTAAAGTAGTTTTAATTAATGCCAAGGCTAGGGGAGGGGGGAGATCAGTGCAGAATTTCAGTGCAGATGAGGTACAGCATAACAAAAAATCCAGTCAACAAATCTCATTAACCATATACTTTCTGTTTTTCTGTCTCAAAATCACTCATTCATTTCATTTTAGAATAAAGATGTCTAACCTTTTAATACCACCTCCAACTAGAGCAACTACAACTTTTCTGACACAATCACAAACGTTTCTTATGGATTCCATTATTATTATTATTATTATTATTATTATTATTATTATTATTATTATTATTATTATTATTATTATTATTATTATTATCATTATTATTATCATTATTATTTTATTATTATTTTAAGCCAGACCTCTCATTTCACTCCTTTGCTGTCATGAATATGAATGGAAATGCAGCCAAAAGACAGAGAAAAACAATTAAAAGATATTTATACCTGCTTTAATTATAAAAATCATAGCTAGAAAAAATGTTTCATCCACATTCTAAAATGATTTAATTGTCTAAACATTGAGAATATCCCTCATTCGTGTTTAGTAAAATTTATGATTAAGTACTCGGATCAAGTGAATGAATTAACAAAATTAGAAAACGTCTCTGAAGGAATCATACTGGCTTTCTCTTGCAGTGGTTCCTCCTGCGCCATAGAGGGCGCTCAACAGAGACACAGAGGGCGTCATAATCAAGAAAGACTCGATTTCTTCTCAGTATTATGAATGAAGTCTGATTTTTTGTTTTAAATGTTTCCTTTAAGCGTGTGATCATCTAACATTAACCGTGAAGTTCTTATAACGAGCAAAGATAAGCTCGTTTAAACCGCTTTAAGATGTCTGCTAGCGCTGTGTATGTCCTGGATTTAAAAGGAAAGGTAAGAGACGTAGCATCGTGGCTAAGCTAATATTAGCCTAGCCTGCAGCCATCTACTTTAGTTTCGCCGACCAATTAAGATGTAGCTTTGACGATAGCCTATATTCCTTTATTAAGGGTTGATACTTTGATACAAGTCGATTACTTGCATGCAAACGTTCTGTTCGCATTCATGTGATGTGTGAAACTATAACTATAATCCAGAAATGGTTCATTCTAGCGGTCAGGTGACCAGCTGTGACAGATGGAAATAAATCTCTCCAGGAAATGTACAACTGAACGTTAACGCTCATAAACTGACATAAAAGATAAGTTTTGTAATATAAAAAGTCATTTTTATTTAAGATGGTGAAACGTTGCCAAATCACTTTAGATTTGTAAAAACTTCCGTAAATGTATCAGTTTGCAGAAGTTTTTTTTCCCTCATCTCCAGCTCACGATGATGATGCAAACATGTTACAACAATTTTCTTCAAAGTTGCTTAAATTAAACTTGATTAAAAAGTCCCAAATGCATTTTAGAGATATTTGGGGGAATTTGCCATGTGGCATTATGCCACAAAGGAAAGGAAAAATACTAAAAGTTCCCATCAAAGCTAATAATAATAAATATTTTGTGACACCTAATTCTATTCCTTCCATAGCAAACAATGAAGGACAAGGTTTCTCTTACAGTTTCATGCTAACATCTGCTTCTGATTCCAGGTGTTGGTGTGTCGTAACTATCGGGGAGATGTGGACATGTCTGAGATCGAGCACTTCATGACCCTTCTGATGGACAAGGAGGAGGAGGGAACACTCTCCCCGATCCTGGCTCACGGAGGAGTTCGTTTCATGTGGATTAAACACAATAATCTTTATCGTATCCTTTCTGTTCACACTACATTACTTTCAGACACATCTTTTATTTAAAAATGGATAGTAGGGCTGCACAATACATCGCAAATGTATCAGCATACACAAAATGCATATCGCAAAGAACAGAAAAAAAACACAATGAATGGTCAGCTCAAACAGAAGCGTGAAGTTTTTGACAAACCAAATAGAGCTCTTTACCCATTTGGCCAATCGGGTGGGTTCTTAGAGCTTAGATGCCCACCCCTTAGGCCAGGGGTAGGCAACCCTGGTCCTAGAGAGCCACCGTTCTGCATGTTTTCCAGCCATGCGTGAACTTGCAACTTCGAATTGGCTGAACACACCTGATCCAGGTAATCAACAGCAGGAACAACAAAGATAGTTGGAAAATAAGCAGGACTGTGGCTCTCTAGGACCAGGGTTGCCTATTCCTGTCCTAGGTGAACGGCACTGAATTTGGATGGCTAGCAAAATTTCTTTGTTTTTGATTATTTTTGTTTTGTTCTTGACTTACGTATTTGTTAATTGCAAGCCATATTGTCATCGAAATATTACTGGTTGTGCAGCGCACCAGGCTAAAGACCAAAGGTGACAAATAATTTGCTGCTGTGGCCCCCTCTAGTTAAGAGACACCTTTTGTTAGTGTTAGAGCCGACCCGTGCAAAAGCCTATACTAATCTTATAATCCTCCACATGTTCTACTTCATTCCCCTCTTTTCTTTAACTCACATTATTTCAGTGGTTGCAACATCCAAGAAGAATGCCAGTGTCTCATTGGTTTTCTCCTTCTTGTACAAAATTGTTCAGGTATGAATACAGGTTCTGCTGGCCTTGGTCCAAAACAGTGGGACCCAGGGTTGAGATATGAAACTAAAAATGGGGGAGTTGGGAAATTTTCTCTAGAGATAACATCGCAGTTGAAAATGCATACAAGTATAACGAGATACAGTGTACTGTTTTACTTCGACCATCATGCCAGGAATTGACAGCAGCTGTTTGAAAGCTGTTGCATGTTTTGTAAATGCTCCTTTGGATTTTTCAGGTGTTTTCAGAGTATTTTAAAGAGTTGGAGGAAGAAAGCATTAGAGATAACTTTGTCATCATATATGAGCTGATGGATGAGCTGATGGACTTCGGTTACCCTCAGACCACTGACAGCAAAATCCTGCAGGAGTGAGTATCCCCTCACTCAAAAAAATTTAACTCTTCTGTGTGTATTTCATAACTATTATATATATACATATATATATATATATATATATATATATATATATATATATATATACATATATATATATATATATATATATATATATATATTAGGGTTGTCACGGTAACCGGTATAGCGCTAAACCCCGGTAAAAAAGTTGACAATAAAAATAACCGTCCAGTTTTTAAAAAATTAAATTATCTCGGTGGGTTTACCGTGGCCGCGGTTTAGGCGCGGTGACCCTTACCAGCCACCGTCGCTTCAGCTGAAGTTCCCGCGGCGCGCGCACACACTTTTTAGTTTGCAACGGCACCAAAACTTTGAAGCTGAAATAATGGCCGAAGGAGGAGACGGCAGCGCCCAGGACATCCATCAGCCCTCAAAGAAGACTAAATCGGAAGTATGGGCATATTTTGGATTTCTGAAAAACGCTGAGGGACAGTTAATAGAAGACGGCTATCCCGTTTGCAGAACGTGCAGGAAACAAGTGTCTGCAAAAGGCAGCAACACTTCGAATCGAATGGCACATCTGCGTGACAATCACCCACGTCTCTACAGCCAGTGCAAGGTAAGTTGACATTAGCATTTTAGCTTAAATGCATGACGTGAGGACTTTTGGTTGAGGGAGAATGCAACGAGTCGCTATATACTGCAGCTGCAGCGTCCTCTGCCAGCATTTAAACCGTGTCACGGACACCCTGTTGCTGGATGAAGCATCTTATTTGTTGATGATGAAGAGAAATATACAATTAGTTCCTTGTCATTGATTTGTTTACTTATTCAATGCCATTTATACTTGAACATTTGGATTTGATTACATAGTGTAGTAGTTATTTTAGTAATTTGTTTAAAGTGGCTATTTATTTTAAATACATATTTTTTAAGGTTGACTTGTACAGTGCTCAAGTCAAGTGTGGACTGGAGTTTTAGATTTTCATTTTGATAATGAAGAAAACAAGTATATGAGAAAACAAGTGGTGTTTCTTTGATTTGTTTACATATTGTTTATGTTTTGAATGTTTGGATTTGTATAATTTAAACCTGCACTGACTACTGTAACATGTTCCAGAAAAAGAAGCTATTTGTTCCTTTACTTGTGAAAAGTTGCACTTTTGCTAAGGCTTTGTGTTATTTTAGGTTTAATAAACACTGTTAAACCTTTTCAGAACTATTTCAGTTTGTGTAGAACAGGACTATCAATGCTTTCTGAACATATGCAACACCGTTTAAAAAATACCGCGATAATACCGAAAACCGTGATAATTTTGGTCACAATAACCGTGAGGTTAAATTTTCATACCGTGACAACCCTAATATATATATATATATATATATATATATATATATATATATATATATACAAAATATTTCTGTTGCAGTATTTTTTTGTTTTTTCCTTTAGTTAAACAAACCAAAACTACAGTGCTGGCTGGCCACGCCCCCATAGACCCCATTGACACACCCCTCCCAAAAAGACCGAATAAACATGTTTGTTTACAAAAACATCGACTTAAGTTTTTGCCACCTTAAGGTGTTTTTATTTCAGTTTTTTCTACGTTTCCCAAAGGTGGATAGGATTTGGTTTCATTGCAATTGTTTACGTCCACCACCAGATGTCACTAAATCCAAACCATTGTTCTTTCTTTTCCTCTTCCACTTCTTGTCATTTCTGTGTGTCTGTGATATAACACCCGACACCAGATAGTTCATAACCTCTGTGTTTACATTTCTATCTCTCAGATATATAACCCAGGAGGGACACAAGCTAGACACCGGTGCTCCTCGACCCCCCGCCACAGTCACCAATGCTGTTTCCTGGAGGTCGGAGGGCATCAAGTACAGGAAGAACGAGGTCTTCCTGGACGTCATTGAGTCAGTCAACCTACTGGTAGGAACTCCTTCATGTTGCTCAAGGAATGTCTGACTGTATTTCCTTCCTATATATTTTTTCTGCAGTCATTTATTAATTTATTTTAAGGTTGCTATAAACTGTCTACTTCTGACCCACTGACTCTTTAAGTCTCTTTATCTTTCAGGTTAGCGCCAACGGGAATGTTTTGCGTAGTGAGATTGTCGGCTCCATTAAGATGCGTGTTTTCCTGTCTGGAATGCCTGAGTTACGTCTGGGTCTAAACGACAAGGTTCTGTTTGAGAACACTGGACGTGAGTTCCTCTGTTTCTGACGGCATATCTAAGAGTAAATGACTTAATCTTGTTGAATGTGGAACACTTTTGCAAAGCATGTAAAATATTTCCTTTTCCTACCCCCTAGCTGTCTAAAAATTCCATAAAAGTTTAGTTCAGTGTCATTTTGTTCTGGTGGAAGCTCATTCTGATGTTGTGTTTAATGCAGGAGGGAAGAGTAAATCAGTTGAGCTGGAGGATGTGAAGTTCCACCAGTGCGTTCGTCTGTCTCGCTTTGAGAATGACCGCACCATCTCCTTCATTCCTCCTGACGGAGAGTTTGAACTGATGTCGTACCGCCTCAACACCCACGTGAGTCCAGAACATGGTTTTAAGATTCTGTTTAAATAAAAAAACTTATATGCCAACCGTTTGGAATCCTGAAATACTACTACTACTACTACTACTACTACTGCTTCTGCATTTTATATATTTTTTTAACTTGTTGTTGGTCTTCTATTTTCTTCTGCTTCTCTTGTTGTCTTCTATTGTCTTTTTCTTCTAATGTCTTATTTTTCTTTTAATGTCTTCTTCTTCTACTATTGTCCTTTTATTCTGCTTCTAATGTCGTCTTCTATTATATTTTTCTTCTTTGGCTTCTATTTTCTTCTGCTTACATTGTCTTCTGTTGTCTTTTTCTTCTGCTTCTAATGTGATCTTCGAATGTCTTATTCTTCTGTCTTCTTCTATGGCCTTTTTCTTCTAATGTATTCTTTTTATATTGTCGTTCTTCTGCTTCCATTTTCTTCTATTTCTAATGTCTTCTTCTAATTTCTCCTTATTCTTCTTCTATTGTCTTTTTCCTTTTGCTTCTAATGTGGTCTTCTATTGTCTTTTTCTTCTAATGATATCTTCATTTTCCATTGGCTTTTTCTTTCTGCTTCTAGTGTCTTCTACTTTCTTCTTCCTTCTGCTTCTAATGTCTTCTTTTAAAGGGACTTTACAGAGTTTTGAATTTTTATGCTCGAGATTGCCCCCTCAGGCCAAAAGCGTAACGGCAGCTTCAATAGTAGGCTCGTGCACGAGGCGCGCATGCTGTACGTGCACACTCCTTAACAAAAATAACAGCTGAGACAGTCCCGTGTGTGTGTGTGTGTGTGTGTGTGTGGCCCGGAGGACAGAGGACAGGAGAACACGCAGCTTACTAATTAAATAATTTGGTTCTGTATCTTTCTCTTCAGCACAGCCGACAAAGGTTTATGATGGGTCAGTTCTCCTGCATGCTCAGATCATTCCCTTCCCTTGCTTGAAAAATTGTTCCAAAATGAAAGTTGAACCCGCATCTTTTTTATCTGTGAATTCAATGCCGTTCGGCGAGTCTCAAATAAAAATTTGGGCATCTTACTGTAAAAAAATATACCATTAATGTAAAAAAGAAACTGTAAATAAACTATGATCACATCCAGAATCGAACCCGAGTCTTCCGCACGGGAGTCCGCCATCTTACTGGATGTGCTATAGCACCAGTGACGTCTTTTGTATCTGTAATATTTATATTCCTGATGACAGCTGAAACAACGTTCAAAGATCGGTTCAGAGCGAAAATGGCTATTTTGTTGCAAATTTGCAGAAAATATCTAGAAGAAAGTAGCTAAGGGTCCTCAGAAATGTAGCTAGGTTCATCACTAGGCGTTAGGAACAGCGACAAAGTCGCTGAGTTGGCACTACCTCACTCTCTGCTGCTAAAGCTACTGACAGCAAATGCTATGGGCGATGCCTGAGCGTGAACACGCATGAAGCAGCCTGCTCGACCCGAGCAGATCTCTTTTTCTGTGATTTTACAGAAAAACAGGCAATCACAGTAAAAATGCCAGGACTCATTCTACAGGACCAGGGCATTGCAGGAGAATGTATTAAGAAGAAATGTTTTATTTCTATACATGTTTTGGCTGTCAAACTTCCATAATGCCCCTTTAATGTCTCCTTCTATTGTCTTTTTCTTGCAATGATGTCTTCTATTGTTTTTCCTTCTGCTTCTATTGTTATCTTCTTTTATTGTCTTCTTCTAATAATAATTACTACAGTAAAACTAAATAAAATGTAATTATCGCCTCAAATAATAAAATCAATGTCAACGATGACTACATAGGTTTTTTGGGTGTTTAAATTAAACCTTTTCCCCTCGGTTTTTTGTGTTACTTTTTTTATTATTATTATTATTTTTTTAGATTAACATTTTTTTATCCAACTATTTGACTGAACGAAGATCAGATGGAATTCAGATAGTTTTTTACTTAATTTACTGACCAATGAAAGGCGAGGTGACTCCTGAGGTTTTGTACATTTTTCTAAAATACAAAGAGTAAAAAAAACAATGTTCTGAAACTGAACATAAACAATGGACTGTTTCCTTTTCCCTTTCAGTGGTAGCGGTGAAAAATCAAACATCATCTTTGAGTCTTCTGTTGTAGTAATGATATCTACCCACTAGGTGGCGACTGCTACTTGTTATTTAAGCTTGAAGAAGTGATGTGAATAGGTAATGTAACTTTCTGTTACTCTCCTCTCACAGGTGAAACCTCTGATCTGGATTGAATCGGTTATTGAGAAGCACTCTCACAGCCGGATCGAGTACATGATCAAGGTAGGCCACTTTCTCCGCAGGAACGAGCTGCTGTGTTTTTAGCTAAACCGTTGTTATGTTTCGGTTCCATTATTCATGTCAACAATACTGAAACAACAGAAGACTGAAAGGTAGCTCAGTTCCAACTGGCCTGAGGTGAGGTCACGTGCACAGAAACATGCTGCATTGATCTTGAGTCTTATTTTCTTGTGGATCATCTTGTCAAGTGGGACAGTCGTGATTACACTGTACTTTTGTGAAGCAACAATCCTAGTCCTGGTTGAATACCTGTTTGAGGCTGCACAGCGTGTCAAACTCGTCCCGCTTGTTTTGCTCGGCAGGCAAAAAGCCAGTTCAAGAGGCGCTCCACCGCCAACAACGTGGAGATTCACATTCCTGTTCCAACGGACGCTGACTCACCCAAGTTCAAGACCACAGTGGGCAGCGTGAAGTGGGTGCCTGAGAACAGTGAGATCGTCTGGTCCATCAAGTCCTTTCCTGTGAGCAGAAAACGTGACTCAGGAGTTTCACACTAATGAATGCAAATTATTTTTGTATTTCACCCAATAATTGTCACGATTTTTCTCAAAGCACAAGGAGCACATATGATTTAACTTAAATTACAAATTATTTGTCATTCCTCTTCAAGCTTAGTTAAAATGCTTGTGCTTTAATTTGTCACAGGGAGGAAAGGAGTATCTGATGCGGGCTCACTTCGGGTTGCCAAGCGTGGAGGCCGAAGACAAAGAGGGGAAACCACCAATCAGTGTCAAGTTTGAGATCCCGTATTTCACCACCTCGGGGATCCAGGTAGGTTTGACACTTATGACCTGTCAGGCAGTAATCCTTCACAGATCATGTCAGACGTCAACAGAAAAGGCTCAAAAACATTCACCAAAGCTTCGCAGTCAGTCAAAATAAGAATAATGTGCTGCAGAGCGCTTTTCCCAAACAAACCTACCAAGTGCTTTTCAAGTGGGGTAAAGGTGAGTTTTCACTACAACAATAATAAAAACATCTGAAAACATATCCAAGCGCTGGCAAAGACACTTAGAAACATGAACAGTTCAGGGTGGGATTTGATTATTATTCTGAATATCTAATTTTAGTTTTATTGCACCATCTTTTCTCTCTCACCAGTCCGAGAAGTGAAACCTAATTTAGGCCAGCGGGGGCAGCGTGGAGCACTTGTAACCTCTGTGTGGTTAAACACATTTCTGATGTTGCACCAGCCAGAAGTGCTCATCAACATGAACTTGACCCTCTGTTTTGATCCTGATTACAGTGATAGAAAACGTCACTGCTAGCACCAGGTTAGCAGATTAATTGGAGTCTGATTGTAATTTCCATGCTGTTGAGAGAGCGAGAGAATGAGACTAATGTTTATATTTCATGTTTCCCTCACACTGACCACAGACTAACACACACGTGTTACGTTTACCGTATAATCACAGGACAACTGTGATTATATGTGTAGCGCAACAACACAAAATTAAGTTTCACCATGTCTTGTTGAGTGGAAACAAGGTTAACTTCATTTTAAAGTGTTTTTTTTTTTTTTGCCAGAACTTGATGCATTATAATATATGATTAAAGTTTTTCCACAGTTTTTCTAAATAATATTCTCAATTCTGTGTTTTTCATTAACTGGTGATGTATTTTGAGAATAAACTCTACAATTTACAGCCGGAGGCTCTAATCTCCCTTTATGCCATAACGTTTACACGCCGTCACGATTTCCAGCTTCCCAACATTTCCTATCATCATCAGTAGGACTTTATGAAGTTGTAGAGACATTATGCAGCCCACTCGGAAACGAGCTCAAATTAAAGTTAACCGACTTGTAACCAGGGCGCTGGTTTTAGATTTTTAAGATTTTCCCAACTCGATTTGTCAGTCAAAGAAATAATCTTTTTATTTTTTGCTTTTTTTGGTTGTAAAAACATAAAAGGAATATGTTTGAAAAAGTGCAACTGTATAGCTTCATTATTCAATAAAAGATTTTCTAATGTTGAAACTCTAGCCTAAAAAACGTTTAGATGCTGTTTAAAATGACACAGAATGATCATTTTAAAAACATTCATTCTGGGTTTAATGGTCTAAAAAACATCTTTTATATGTTTTAAGGGTTTGCCAAGTCACGACCTACGCCGGCCGTGCGGTCTCTGTTGATTTAGTTCTCACGTGCTCATCTGTGTTTTGGTGATGGATCCTCTTTTTGTGGTTTTCTGCAAACCTTGATGACTTGTATTCAAACACCAGTGGTTATCCTGTTCGGTTCAATCTGGACACACCCTCCAAGTGTTTTCACCGCAGCGATGAGAACGAGGCGGGTGGTTTCCTTTTATTTGCTTGAACTTTTGTCATCAGCTTTACCTGAAAATTAGAAATGAAGTGAGCAGAAAAAGTTGCATGCAGATGTTGCCTTTATTATAAATATAGCATTGAATTGTAGGAGTTTAAACTCACTAAATGCATGTAAAACCTAAAAATAAGCAGTCAGAAGCTTTAAATCTACTTCATTATAACAAAACTTCCCATGTCATCAGTGATGCTGCACCACCATATTCCCATCCAACTCCCGTGTCAAGTGTGTAACCTGTCCCTTATTACAGGGCTGCAGCAGCCTGGCTCTCAGACTCTAATGCAGCCACTATCTACGTGTGAGAAGAGGCTGTGAAGTTTAATTAGATGCATGTAAATATCAAAGCATGAGAAAGTTTCTCTTAACTCCACCACTAAGTGTAGGGCAGTGCTGCGTGTGAAGCGTGGATGATGCACGTTAAGCCCCACCGTATAAATTTAACTAGGATGCTGCGTAACCCCCACACGTTGGTTGAGGGGAAATCGGAGCCAAACTGTTGTTTTATTTCCAAATGTTGCGTCTGTAGGTGAGAGAAGCCAAACAAGTTGGCAGCAGGTTTTTTTTTTGGGGGGGGGGGGCCTTGTAGCCTGATAAGTGCAGACCACACATGTAGTCTGTACTTAACCAAAGGAGATACTACGAACACCCTCCTTCTCTCTTCTCATCCTTCAAGCCAAGATGATATTTTGTGGAGGTTGTCCTTTCATGCCGTTTTGCTGACGCTGTACCCACGGTCAGGCCCGATGCATGTTTTGGCTGCAGGGCACACGGAGAAGTGCTGCGCCGGCAGACTCTGTGATCCCGCGTCTGTGTTTGTCGTCATGTCTTTGGTGACCACGTCTCTCTCTCTCTCTCTCTCGCACCTCACCGAGAAGTGGACGGTAATAACAAGGCAGCCAGTGCTGAGGCCTTTTCACCAGAGCGCTGCCGCCTCTTGATCCACAAATTCCTGCTCTGTCTGACCTGATTCAGATGGAAGCACGGCGACATCTCCCACTGAGGGGGTTATGTCGGCTTTGAAAACGGCTGTGCCTTCACGTTGCAAATTGCAACTTCTGCTTAAATGTTTGTGAGAACGTTTTCCATTGCAGGATCTTAAAGGCGTGGAACACTGAGAAACCATTTTTTAATGATTATTTCTGATTATAATCTGTCACTCTTGAGTTTTTCATGCAGGCCGAACACGAAAATAGTCTCCTGCATTATCTTCTGATAGACGGTGAAACTCTAGGATTTGAAAATCCTCACAGATCTACGCCACACTGTCACTTAACATTCAAGGACTCACCCATCTTGACTCACGACGGGGAAGGCTGTTTTGGTTTAGCGTTCAGGAAACGGCAGAAAACATCTGGACTAGTAGAAGCTAATCATTAGCATTAGCAACTCCACCACACTGAGCAGAGTCAGTAGTGGAGTTGCGTTGCTTTTGCGAGATTTCCAAATATCAGGAAATAAAAGTCCAGAGCCTGCCATGTTCTGTAACTCTTCTCCAGCTGACTCCGTACTGAGCCCCCCCGACTTACAAGGCATTCATTCTTACTAGAGATCACTGCAAATGAATTGATTACACGGGTGTTCTTCACCTTTCACAACTAATATCTAGTACTTTATAGCAGTTATTTGAACACATTTGTGAAATTAAGTGTTTTAGTATCTAGAAACACTACAGAGTTGTTACATTTCCTCATTTTCTGTTTTATTTCGACACTTGGTGGTAAAAACTTTCTGCAATGTCCTACAAATGATTTATTTTTAGAGTTTCTTCTCGACATTCACCTCTGTGGTAACAGCGAGCTGAAATATCGGTTAATAGCTTGTGAAAGTTGGATCTTAATTGTGCTGATTTGCACTTTTTTCTTTTTTTTGGTCTCAAAAAACCCCCAAAAGTTATGTAAAAGAACATAGTGAGTCCCTTGAAAGCTGCTCTGTAGCTTCTTCCTTCTTCGGGGTGTGACTCATACTACTGCTTCCTCATCAGCACCACAGCGCTGCTATGATCTACCGCTCACCGCAAGCTGGAAGGTGCACACCTCTGAAAACATGCATTTGAAAAACAGTGATTTACAAGTTCACTTGAAATAAATGTATCAGCAGGTGGGGTAGAGAGATCAGACGTAAGTTATGAGTAGAAAAGCTTAACACAAACTTCAGTGCATTCCCTCATGAAAGCAATCTGTCAGTCAACTCAGAACTAGACAAAAACAAGTCAGGATTTGACCTAAAAATAGTGACTTTAGTTGTTTTTCAGTTTGCATTTTGCCCCTTGGGGTTCTGGTTATTTTTAAGGTAAATTTGCTGCTTTAAAAATTCCTTTTAAAGGTGTGATTGTTTTACAACTGTTAGTTTTTTCTTCCAGCAAGATCATTACTTTCATCTTTTAGTGCAAAATATGTGTAAGGAGATATTTTCTCAACCGTAAAGGAGTTTGACACGGTTTCTGTTGACTTTAGTTACGTTGCTAACAGCTTTCTTGTGTTTTTGCCCCCGGCAGGTGCGTTACCTGAAGATTATTGAGAAGAGTGGCTACCAGGCCCTGCCGTGGGTGCGTTACATCACCCAGAACGGAGGTAGGTCAAGAGTTCGGCTGTAGTTGTACCCATATGTGCAGGTGTTGGGCAACAGTTGGGCAATGCGGTGCAACATGGTGGGAACTAACCTTGAACAGATGCAGTTCTATGAAAAGGGGATACACGTGGCAATGTGGCAACATCCTGCCAAAATGTGAGAAAGTGAACTTTCTTTTCCCCGATCATCATACTAAGATTACCCAGGTTGCACATGTCCATCTTTTGGCTAATGTTGCTGCTAATTGCCAAACATCCTCTTCTCATTTCCTTTGCATTTCATTCAATATGGGCGGAAAACATCAGCCGCCTCCACTTGATTTCTCTGAGATTCCCTGATTTTCTTTGTCCATTTGATTAAGTCTTGTCAATTTCCTCCTCAGATTACCAGCTCCGGACTCAGTAGGCAGCGCCTCGGCAGGTGGAAGTCGGGGCGGGGCGGAGTCGAGCCGTTAATATTCTGTCAATGGCAGGTGGCAGTCAGGAGAGAGGAGGACTGTCAGTATTTACTTTTAGTGTTAAATTCTTTATTTGTTAAAGCTCTATACATTCAGGATCAATGCAAATATCGGACGAAGGCTTCAGTAGGGCAAGGGTTAAAGAAACATATGAATGTGTGGCTCCTGAAAGGACGGAGACCAAAATAATGAGGAGTAATGTTTACAGAGGGGTTCACAATCTGTCAGCGTGGGTTGTAAGGTTGAAAGAGTTTGTTACAAATCTCATTTAGAGTTACTGTAATCACCTTCACAGGTCAGCGCATTCACTCACACTTTATATATTTTCTATGAAGTTGCCACGATTCATGTTTTTTGATTATCTGTATATATTTGTTACATGTTAATGAATTTGGAGTCAGTGTTATTAGTCAGAGGACGGAAAATAAATATGTAATTTTTTTTATTATTACCTCCACATGATGCCATCGACACATGCCAAAGCAAAGCCTTCCTGCTTGGCTCTTGCTCCACCTTTTTATGGCTGTTTGACTCTGTTAATGTTCAGCTTTGCGGAAAAAAAAATGTAGATGATTAAAGGTGCACAGAAAGCATCCCGCTACCTGATTTCCTCTTCTCTGTCTGCAGCCGTGTTATTTCCAGTCATTAAATGTAAATTTAGAAAAAAACATCATCTGCTTTGCGTCATTTCTTGTGTGATATCACTGAAAATGATGAGGGGGTGGGGGAGGGGCGTTCTTGATCAGGTGTGTGGTTGTATTTAACCCTCGATGGTTCCACACCTCAACGTGGTGGAAAGAGCCAACAAATTACGTCCAAGCTCTCCGTAAACAAGCGGGAGAGCTGGAAAGGAAGTGACTTAGACTGCGGTCAGCAGTCGCAGGCGCGTGAGAGAAGCACAGACTAGTTATTGTTCACGCCCCGAGGCCCCGCATGAGGTCACTTCTTAAATTTGACCTGCAAGGAGGACTGTGATGCTCCTTCCTTCATGCGAGTTGACTAGAAATACAAGATTTGTTCTCGGCACACGTTAGACCGAAGTTCCAGCTTTGTTTCTGTTTTGTTCTTTCCGTTTGGAGTCACCTGCTTTTGTTGGAACATGTGCACAGCAGACATGCCAAGTCTAAAGAAAGATGTGATTCACTTTTTTGAAACAGAACGGCATGTTATCTGGCTTTCGATGTTCTAGATCAGTATCGAGATAAACCCCAAGCATTCCCATGCAAGGAAAATATTTTGCATCACTAAAGATATCGTAAACTATATTTGTCCATCCAGACTTTGTTTTTCATCCTAAAAGCACAAGAGGATGGTGAATGAAACATTTTCTACAACTGTGATTTAGAGATGGCTGAAAAAAATCAAATCCCTTCAGGATGTCATATTAAAATTATTTATCTGTTTCCAGGGTTTGTTCGTAGCTCTTGCTGATTTAGTAAATCTCCAAGTGAGCGCCTGTGGGCGGTGTGTTATTTCAGCCTTAGAATGCAAGCCCTATCTAGCAGCGTTGTGAATGATGGGTATGAGACCGGTAATAACATCTACTTAGACCAGATTAAGGTTTATCTTGTCTGCATCGAGCTTCTTTAACCTGTCTAGAGCTGAGAAAGCTCTAGAAAACAGGAGGTCCTACTGATTACATCTGCTAGTTGCGTAATCATTTGTGTATCTCTTAACTGCTGGCCAATGTGTGCTCTTTCTCACAGGGGCACAGTTTCTGTGATACTTGGCGGGGCGCATTAATATAGTTTTTGGCAGACATTGAGAGGTACACATGCGCAAGGCAAACTGCAGAGTTTAGAGGAAAGACCCTACATACCTCATGTTTCGGGGTTGCTTGGAGACGGCTCGGCTGCTGGAAAACACGAGTGTACGCCTAAATATTAAGCACAAAGTATTACTTTTGAAAAAGATTTATCAAAGAACATTAAAATGTAATTTTTGAAAGGAAAAAAAGGTTAAATAAAAGCACTTAAAGTTCTCTAATAATTCTGTCAAATGCACATTTTTAATCATCATTATTTATCTTTGTGTGTTATAAGTATAATTCAGCTTTAAACTGTTGCAAAACCCCACTGGCACATGCATAAAGTCTCAACCTGACATTTATACCATTATTTGGTTCCCATATGAACATCCCACTATGGACACTAATTTTATGGTTGTTTCCGGTTGTGGAAAATCACTATGGTTACCTAACTGGCAGTGGAGCAACAGGTAGACCTTGACGCCATGGCTGCGTCAACTTCACACACAGGTGTGCCACGAGGAACCCTGTTGCTTGTATACAAACGGAACCCTGTTGCCTAGCAACTGGAGGGAATCCTCTCCTGTCACGTCAGGACTCTGATCCTTGTATGACGTCAATGAGACGAGGCTGCTCCTCTCAGGCATTCAAAAGTGTCCCTGTAATCACGCGTGGAGCGTCTATCCTTTCCGTTGTGAAATAGTTGGTGAGTCACCGTGAGATGGTGACTGGAGAAAAGGTATTCCTATTGAGGTGAATGAAGCCTTGGTGCGAGAGGGGGGCACTTCCCCCTACAGAAAAACCTGAAATAGTTATTTCACTGGTTGAAAAACCTCAGGCGCTCGGTGTGCGTGTGGTCCGGGCTACCTTTACAGCAGGCTTCCACAAGAGGAAAATTTCCATCCTTCTGTAGACTTAAGACAATATTGGTTTAAACAGCATATAGCCTGGTGCTTAACCATACCGGCCTTGAGACGCTGCTGTAATCCGGCAGCGTCTCCTGCCCACACGTTGCTGAGAGAGAACAGAGGGCAGTACGTGACAGGGAGACATAAAATCTTCATGTTGGGTCACTCACTTATTCTGTCTCTGGGTCAAAGTGCACATCAGGATAAACATTTGGCACTGTAGCTATATTTACTTCCCTTATTTTACAGCAAGTGTTTTGGAATGCCTTTGCCTTGGAAACTGACTCATCACCAGTGGAGTCCGAAGTCTGAAACATCAGCAACTTCAGTGCAGCACGTACAACCCTTGTCATTTCTTAGAGTACACACTGTTATTACCGAGTAACAGTAATGATTACCGAGCTGTGGGTGAGACCCCCCAAGAGGGTTTTGGATAAATCAGAGGGGTCAGCACAAGATTAAAGGCATATAAGCACTGTGCAAAAGTTTTAAACTACCCCTCATTTCTTTATATTTTGCTTCCAAGGAGCCAGACGTTCTTGTAATCTTTTAAAGTGCTCTTGATTAATAGCTTCTTTGCACTTTGGCTGCTTTTTCAATCCGCTTCTGTCCAGTTATTGTACTTGACCATGGCAGCATATTGTGAGGTTTATGCTTGAAAAATTAGAAGAAAAAAAAAAGTAAAGAAAGAAATGCTTTAATTAAACTTTCTGGAGATGAATAGTTTGTAAAAGTCACATCTTTACGAAACAAGGGGAACCATCCAGTTAAAAACAGGGTCAGTTGTTATAGTATGTCCAATGAGCTTTGGGTCATGGACAGAATTAGTTATCTCCGCAAGGTGTCTGGGCTCTCCCTTAGAAAAAAGATTAAAAGCTTGGTCTGCCGGGAGGAGCTTGGAGTAGATCTGCTGCTCTTCCACGTCGAGAGGAGTCAGTTGAGGTGGCTCGGGCATCTGGTTAGGATGCCTCCCTGGTCAGGTATTCCGTGCATGTCCAATCGGGAGAAGACCTAAAGGAAGACCCAGCACACGTCGTAGGGACTACGTTTCTCGGTTGGCCAGCAAATTACCTTGGGATTCCCCCAAAAGAACTGACCCAAGTGGCTGGGGAGGGGGAAGTCTGGACCGCTCTGCTTAGACTCCTGCCCCGGTGACTCGACCCCGGGCGAGATGGATGTCAAACTGGGCTACCTTAAAGGTTTTTCAATAGATTCAAATAAAGAAAAAGGTAAAGATTGTGTCTTCTGCTAACAAAATGCCTAAAAAATTAATTTTGTAGTTTGGTCCAGGACCTATGGTGTAGGTGGTGGCTCCAGAAGGCAGACTTAAAAGCACTTCAATGAGGACAAATCCAGGATCAAACAGGAAGCCAACACAACAAGATAGACCAGCGGAAGACAGTTGAGCACAAATAACTGGGAGGGCTGAGGGAAATAACCAAATGCACCGGAGCACAGATCATAACAAAAAAATAAATCACTTTTATACTGAGCTTTTGCACTTAAAAGCTTTTAGTTTTAATTGCTGGAAATTTTTCAAAAATCTCAACTAAGTAGTTAAGCAAGTTAAAACGTTAGGTTATGCATACAACCACTGTTCCCTGAAGGAGAGGAACGAGGCACAACAAAGGTACTATGGGACATCTCGCCCTCGTGTGGCCTGGCCGAAGACAGATTTAATCACGTCTGTAAGGCAAATGAAAGTGACGCCGCGTGGAGGCCCCGCCCTCCACTTATAAGCGACCGTGTCACTGTCATTCCTCAGTTCGATAGCCGCTCTTCACCGAGCTGGGCTGTGAATGGGGCAGCCCTGCGTTGTACCTCATTCCTCTCCTTCAGGGAACAGTGGTTGTATGCATAACCTAACGTTCCCTTTCAGTCGATTCACTCGATACAACGAAGGTACAATGGGACTTATCGAAACGCCCCATGAGCAGCTATCAAACCTGGCCTGAGATTGCAACCTAAGATGACAAGTCAGATCCAGCAGAGAGAACCGCAGGGGCCACCGAAGGGACTAAAACATCCAAGTGGTAAAACCTCACAAAGGTGTGGGGTGTAGCCCAGCTTGCAGCTGAGCAAGTATCACCAACTGAAACCCCTTTAAACAGCGCCCAAGAAGCAGCCACACCTCTAGTAGAGTGTGCCCTGACCCCTAGGGGCAGCTGAGAGCCAGTGACGCTGTAACACAGGGAAATGGCCTCCACAATCCAATGAGAAAGTCTTTGCTTCGACAAAGCTTTACCCCTGGAGGGTTTGGCAAAACAAACAAACAGTTGGTCTGTTTTTCTGATACTCCGAGTGTGAACCGGGCACAGACAATGCAGTCTTCTCTGCTCCTCAGAGGCAAAAGGAGGACTACTGAAGCCAGAAAGCCCTATGGTCATGGAACCGTAGTTGAGCGGGATGACCTTAGGCAAATACGCAGCATTCGGATGCAGAGTGACCCTAGCTCCATCTGATGGCATTTTCAGACAGGAAGGGTGAACTGAAAGAGCATGAAGGTCTCCCACCCTTTTAGCCGATACAAGGGCTAAGAGCAGAGCTGTCTTATAAGACAGAAGTTTCATACTGATCGATTCAATAGGCTCAAATGGGGGACTACACAGGGCCTCCAGCACCAAAGCGAGGCCCCAAGAAGGGACAGACGATCTAATAACAGGTCTCAGTCTGCGAACCGCTTTCATGAACTGAACGGCTAAAGGATGAGCACCAGGAGAAACTCCATTAAAATATTCATGGTAAGCCGAAATGGCTGCCAGGTAGACCTTTAAAGTGGAGAATGACAAGCCCTTGTCCAGCAGGTCCTGTAGAAACGACAGAATGTCCACAATGGAGCTCTGTGAGGGAACTACTGACCTGCTCAGACACCACACTTCAAAAGCCTTCCACTTATAGGCATATAAACCCCTAGTGGAGAATAGTTTTCATCACAGCTGGAGGAAGACCTTTAGCTAACAGGTTGGACCTTTCAGTAAGCAGGCCTGCAGCTTCCACAGATGTGGGCGAGGGT